ACATTAGGAAAAACTACTTCACAACTAGGGTATCCAGACTGTGACCATTACTTCTACCTTTCCCCAAGGATGCCCTGGTGAACAGTTGTTCACCGAGCCCTAGATGTACACTTCTGATGTAACGGTAAGCTGCTACCAAGTCCCCTCTCAGCCTTCTCTTTCTCAGGCTGAAGAGTCCCAGGTCCCTCAGCCTTTCCTCATATGGCTTGCCGTGCAAGTCTCTGATCATACAAGTGGCTCTTCTCTGGACTCTCTCAAGCTTTACCACATCCGTGTTAAGGTGCGGAGCCCAGAACTGGACACAGTACTCCAGCTGCGGTCTCACCAGTGCTGAGTAGAGGCAAATAGAGCAAGAGCATCGCTTCTTTGCAATAGTTCTGCTGGAGATGCATCAATTGATGCATTACAGCATACTGTTTGCCCTGCTGGCTGCAGCATCACACTGCCAGCTCATGTTCATGCTGTGGTCAGTTATTACCCCCAGGTCTGTGGTGGCAAGTGATGGGGGATCTTCAGTCCTGTTGCCTGATGAGAGGCAGCAGTTGCACAAGCACCCATGTCATGAGTTTTGCCTGTCAGCAGCTAGGGGTGCAGGGCCCCAGGACCCCCATGCACCTATCTCCTTGACAGCTGGCAGGCTTTGTGGCCTCAGCAGGGGCTAGCAGGCCTGCAGCTTTCACCCTGCTGCGCCTTAACACACACAGTGTCATCCATGTCATGAGTTTTACTTGTCCGCAGCTTGAGGTGCAGTTTCCCCCAAACCCCTGCACCTATCCCCTTGAAACTTGGCAGGCTTTGTGGGGCTAGCAGCTATCTCCTTGAAACTTGGCAGCAGGGGCTAGCATGCCTGGAGTTTTGACCCTGCTGTGGCTTAACGCATACACATGACGCAAGTTCGGCTCTCAGGACTTTGGGGTGCAGTTTCTCTGAACCCCCTGCACCTATTTTCTTGAAACTTGGCACGCTTTATGCCCTCAGATGGGGCTACCATTCTTGCAAGTTTTATTCAAATCTGCCCAGAAATGACAAAGTTATAGGCTGTTTCAACCTTCCCCTTTATAGCCTATGGGAGAAATGTCGAAACAGCATCTAAATGGCGAAACGTTTCAACTTGCCGTGTTTTGTTTCATGGCTGTTTCGACCATATATGTTTCATTTCAATTTTGCTGTTTCAACCTCGAAACAGGTCAAAAGAGCATCAAAACAAAACTGCCGGTCAAAATTTTGCACAGCCCTACTTCACATCTGTATTCCAGTTAGAAATCAAAAGTAGGTTTGACCTTATCTTTGAGGCAGAGCAAAGCTAGATGATCTTTTCTATGGGGCTAGTACTGTCAGTAACAACTTCTCATGCTGTATAGCTTTGGCACCTTTAGTTTAGTGTTCAAACACCTCATCTGTTGTACAGCCATAGCAGGGATCTAGCACTCTAACTAGTTAAAAAAAATGGTTCCAGTAAATCTTTTGCAACATCCTGTGCTACTCCCTAACCATGCTGTTTTGCTTCATTCAGCACATTTGGGACATGCCTTTGACTTTGTGCTTCATTAAACTATTGTTAGGGAAAAAATCAAAACTAAATGACTGGAAAAATGACTTGCACAAGTTTTTAACATATAAAGAAGAAAATCCTACCAAGGTTGTTTTAAGCTTTAAGGATGAAAAGAAAGGTTATATTATAACACTTTATTTTAGATGTGTTTTGTGTCCAATCATTTTATTAATGATAACATGTCCAAAAGCATCCAATCATTTTATTAATGTTTCCTACAAAATGCAAACTTAAATATTAAGGTGGAGGAAATGGAATAAAATCCAAATAAATATAGATCAGATTAATGAAAAAATGATCCACCATTTATATTATATAAATACACCACAAAATGACTGTTAGATGTGGGTTAATCTAGTCTGACCAGAAATTGCTGCCTCCTCAATGTCATTCAGTGACCCTGCATGAAATGAATTGGTGGTCATGGGCCAGTTCTTGTTGACAGGCATCCATATCACAAAACCACTGCACTTGTTAGCAGACTCCGTGAAGAGGCCAAAGACAGAATTGACGTGGCATTTGGACTACCCTATTTTGCCACTGAAGGTGGAGATGAAGTATTTGATGTTTGCAGAGCTATTTCTCATCCTGTTTTGTACTGTAGATAACTAAAGGTCTTCATTCTACAGGACTGTCAAACCACTATTTTTTCAGAAACCATCTCTTGGTATGAAATCCAAGAAATACCCAGAAAAATACTGTTACATGAGGGCCACATACTTAGAAAATGAATGTAGGAAAAATTCTACCACAGGTAATAATTATAAGCTGAATTCAATAAAAAATTTAAGTGATCTTAATTTAATATAGCTACTAGTTTCCAGCTAAAGCACAGGTTTCTTGGGGACCAACAATCAGCAACAATAAGAATATCTGCGTGTGGCTCTCTACTGCTTTAACTTAGAGTTATTTTGAATTTGGAATAAGTAAGAAAAGAGCAACATAAAGAAAAAAGTTTAGTGTAAATTTAGCATTGCTAATAATATTGTTACAGGAGTGTCTGAGGGTATGGACAGATAAATTATGCAACGTTAAAATAAGAAATGTGACTTACCGTACATGAACTGATCCACGGTAATTGTTTCATGTGTCTAGTCTAGTCATTGGTAAGTAGAAGCTTAGCTGTAACTATTTATCAGTTATTTCATTTGGGGATAAACTGATCCAGGCTTCCCCAGCTTCCACATATTATGAAGTGAAGTAGATGCACAAAACAGTAAATGAAGATCAGCTCATGTAGTATGCTCTCCCTCTAATACTCCTAACTCAATATATTTTGTCTATTCATATGCTAATAAAGGTCTCACATGATTTACAAAATGAGTTAAACAAGTCTGAGAGAAAAATAAGGTACCTGCTCTACAGCAATCCATCCTTAGTAACTTTTAACGGAGTTCTGCACAGGCTCAGATTTGTTCCCAACAAAACATCATTGAAAAACTGAGACCTGTGTCTAATTGATTTGATGGCTTGATGATATGTACATACTTTGAATCACAGATGAGTTGTATAAACATTAACCACTCCTTAAAAAGTGTCTATGAGAGTATTGCAGTAATATTCCCATTTTACACATGGAGAAAAAAAGATAAAAGTTAGTACTTTCCTTAGACTACACCTGAAGTGAGATGTGAATCTGGGATTAGAAGTGAGGAGTTCTTGGCATCAGTCTTGTGCTTTAGCCACACAGCGGACCATATTTTTCACTCCAAAACTCAACTCTCAGTTATGCCTTCAAAGACAAGATAGATTAAAAATTGCAGGTATGTAAGATCTAAGTAGCCAAAACTCACCTGAAGCAGCAGCGTTTGGTTTTGTAGGTATCAGACAATGAAACATGAATTCTGGAATTAACGTGGATTTTGATGCAATAAATACGTAAAGTCCTCTCTTAAATATAAAAAAACACTGTGCTAGAAGGTATGTCAAATATGTTTATTTTTTTCCTGATATCATTGATAACAGGTAAAAGAAATAAAGTTTAGTATCACTTAATTTTCTGTGTTGTTTTGAACATAGTTTCATAAAAAGGCATTATAACAGCATACTTATGTTTCTTTAAAAACTTACCTTTTTACTAGTACCAGTGGTTGTTAAATTTTCATTTTTAGAGTTTTCTGTGAAAGCGCTTTCTTGTATTAAGCAGTCACTGATAACAACTCTGGCTAGGATTTTTTCCACAGGGGTTAGGCGCCCTTTGAAAATCGTGTTCTCCAAGTTTGTATTGCATCAAGTTTTGGCTTTAAACCGGGCTAACGTCTCCATTAGTTTAGTATTTGAATTTATCTTCCACCTTTACATATTAATTGCTCAGATTAATGTTAACCTATGGTAATGGACAATTTATCTATAGCAGGTAAATATCTTAAGACATTAAAAAAAAGACATGATTTTCTTCAATTTTGTTTTATGAATGCACCATAGAAATCTGAGCAATAATAAGATCACAGATATAGAAGAAGGAGCATTTGAAGGAGCATCTGGTGTGAATGAACTGTTGCTCACAAGTAATCGTTTGGAGAATGTCCAGCACAAGATGTTCAAAGGACTAGAAAGTCTCAAAACATTGTAAGTCTATTTGGGTGTTTTTCCTCTCCTTCTGTGCCAGATCTCTTTGACTTATAGCAGTAACCTGCCTTTCTTGTACCTTTTACTTTGAAGGCAAACTATGGTACAAGGAAGCATATCCCTAGTGTTTGCTCCTATTCTTCACTAAGCTTTATAGTGTGAATTTGTTAAGTATGGGTCTGATCAAGTTGCAGACATTCTCTGAAATGTCTGATCTATAGAAATTGTGGTCCTTCTGGACTAGGCAGTAGCTGAATGTGATTCTGACTCTTTGAGTGTGTATATGTGGGAGGAGGAAGGAGAAGTCATCTCCTTTGGAGCTATAGGAATTATGCATTCTGCACAATGTAGTCTCTGATTAAGTCCAGCCTATCTGTTGTTGGGAATTACACTGGAAAATGGTGATGAATTCAGCTGATATTGAAACATAGGAAGAGATTTTTTCCACAACTGGTTTTAATGTCATTTAGCCAATAACAGCTGTGGCTTTAAATTCTTTCATTCTTCCATTAAAGCATTGAGGGGCCAATTTTTTTTTGTTGGTGTGCCACAAATCAGTTCTGCACTATCTCCAAGTGCCACTCTGATCCCCTTTCCCTGCCCAGTCTTCTTCTCTGCTTTCTGTTACCTCCCTACCCTATCTACTCCTTTGTGTCCTGCTTTCTGTCCTACCTGCTGCTGCGTTCCCTGCCTTCTTCCCAGTCAGCTGTGTGCCACACAAAGAAGTTGTCTGTGCCGCTTGTGCACCCATGCTGCAGGTTGGCCCACCTCTGCCTTAAAGGAAGTTCAGGCCATTCAGTCAAGAAGACCTGTTTATCTGATCTGTGGGTTTCTTCTCTCTATTATGACCTTTTTGCTTCCTGGGCAAATCCTCAACTGCCAGTCACAGAGCTATGATTTTGGTTTTGGACTTCTCTGGCAAGCCAGGCTTCCTGATCAACAAACCAGTTCTCCACTGAATGAAGAACTATGTTTTTTTCTGGGGTTTAACAAGCCCAAAGACGGTAGATACTTGTTAATACATTGGACCTAACATTTTTAATTTTCTTTTTGTTTCAAACATCTGAATGTGTCAGAAGTTTATTTTTTTATGTATCTAAGTTAAAAAAAAAATATTTCTGAGTTAATGACAAAGATGCAAAAACAGCAATGCCTTTAATTATGTGAATCCCGTATACCGGTATTACTTACAGAAATCTGGTTTTAGGAAGGTTGTTTCTTGCTTGAGATACTGAACTTTCTGATAGTCATTAAAACCATGCTGAGTGAGTAAGATCAAGCTGATTTATGTTAATTGAAAGATGTGTTAAACAAGTAACAGGAGTGCTTTCTGGCATTTAGATTATAATCAAGTTAATAAATTCTGTCATTCCTTTATGTTAAATAACAGTTGAATATTATGAGCTTGTTTATAATTTGAATAAAGAAGGAGGAAATAGAGATTGTTAAATGTCACCAGAATAAAAGAAATATGCAACAGCCATGTACATTTTTAATTTGTAAAGCAGCTCTCTTATAACAATAGGAAAATAGCTCAGTTTTTATCTGGTAACTTTACTTACATCAGCTTTAAGGGAATGGAAATAATCACATTAAAACTACAAAATTGTAGTGATTTTTCATTGTAGTAAGTGTCTTTAAAAACATACTAACTTTAATTTTTTTTTTAGTACTCTGTAATAATACAATATAATTAAATATTCCAGTTATATACTATTGAACTGTTTAGGTTTGTTGACTAGCAAAATGTTTATTGCTTAAATAAGGTTCCTATGTTGTTTATAGATAGAATAAATTTAGTAAATGGTAAGTAACTAATAAACAGCAAAAAGTTGATATTTCGGTAAATGGATTATATTCAGCTATCATATATTAATTCGTGTTAATCCTTGCTTTCTCAGGATGCTAAGGAGCAATCGTATAAGCTGTGTAGGTAACGATAGTTTCACAGGACTAAGTTCTGTTCGTCTGCTTTCCTTATATGACAACCAAATTACTACAGTCGCTCCAGGAGCCTTTGATACTCTCCATTCACTCTCTACATTGTAAGTTAAACTATAAATATGAATGCATCTAGGATTTGAATCCATTCACATTTTTATAACGATTGATATCAGTGATTCCTCTTTACAATCTAGCAGCATATGGTTTGATTGTTTTCTAAGCAAAAACTCAACAGTTCAAACTTCTAAAAGGAAATTTAGAAAGTTTACATCCTTGCGATTTTGAATACTTGCACTTCCTTAGATGCCTACTAAAAGTATCTTTAGATAAGTCTAGGCATTAAATTTGTTTTCCACTCTTCCCTAGAAGTTTTCAAGGAATTTTGAAACTTGATAGAGAGGAGTAATGAAGGGGGGCCCTAGTGTAGACAAGTTTCCCAGGACTACACTGGCATTCTTGACACTGAGCTTCCTCCTGTCGAACAGCACAATTCACATGTGATATAGAACTTACCTTGGAGTTTAACTCTGGCATAATGGAACTTTAGTCCAATTTTCTTCTGAATAAATTTTCATGTTAGAAATTATTTATTTTGTAAGGGTTATCTGAATTCAAATATGTTTTACTTCAGTGGTTGGGAAAGAGGGGAAGGGGCACAAGAGGAGAAAAGCACCTGTTTGATACCACTTGTGTTACTGAAAAAGTAATGTCTCTATGAAGCATCACTCAGGAAAGTACTTAATCCTCTTTCAATGTAAAATATGACACTTTACGCCTAGTGAGTAATTTGTGCATATTAAAGATGGCATGTTTATAAATAATGGAATTGTCAATAGGTTTGTGCTGAAGTGAAGAGATGCCAAAAGTACTGAGACTTGTAGAAATAAATTCATTTTTATAACTGGCATTTAATCAACTTAGCTGTCAGGTTAGATAGAAAACTTATTCTCTAGGCAAATAAAAAAGATGGAAATCTTGAGATGACAACTTAATGAAATAGCTGTTGTCAGGTTAAAGCTAATAATATAAAGTAATCAGCCTTCATCTCTATATTAAATTACTGTGTTATCAGTGCAGGGTAGTTTGACAGCAAGTCACATCTCTGACAGGTTTAAATTATTTCTAAATGAGATGTATCAAGATTCACTGCACAAATCCTAAATTGCAGCCTTCAGCTTTGGTTTGCATATGAAAATGTTGGAGGAATTTCACTTAAGCTGAACTTTTTGTAAACAGAAATTGAATGTTTTAACTGAAAACAAAGTTGTATTATTAAAACTAAATTATGTATTGTTTGCATGTGGTTCTCAGAAACCTCTTAGCCAATCCTTTCAACTGTAACTGTCACCTGGCTTGGCTGGGAGATTGGCTGAGGAAGAAACGCATTGTAACTGGAAACCCTCGCTGTCAAAAACCCTACTTCCTAAAGGAGATTCCCATCCAGGATGTGGCAATTCAAGATTTTACTTGCGATGATGGTAAGAAATGCATACTTGAGCTGTCAGGAATGCAGCTTCCATACATGTAACTGGAATATTGCATAGATCATAAAGGCTCATATAAGTGGACCACTCTAATTTTATACATGTTCCTTGTGCTCCATTTGACTCCCAAGTAAAATAATGTCTGCAGTAGAAGCTCTATCCACCCATTTTGAAATGATTAGTAAGTGTGCAGCTGTCATATGCATATGTTAACAAGCCTTTTGAAGATAACAGTATGCAACACTGTAAATAAATATTTAGAGATAAAATGGAGATTGAGATAATTGGGCTGATAGATGTTGTCTAATGCAATTGGATTCAAATATTCTCTAGCAGGCTATACACATTCTAATATCATATTAGAGATTTGCTCACTTGTTACTGAATTTCAATATTTATATGCAAATATGAAAAAATGCTTTTCTCTCATATCACAGTGTTTCTAAGACTGTTTGTATGCTTGCTGATTTTCAAATGTTTAACTTTCCCTAATAAAAAGGAAGCAGTCTTTATTTGCCTTTTTACAGATCTGTAAAGCATATGGCTTTATTACATTTTGTGTAATTGTGATTTTACTTTAATATTTCTTTCTCTAAAGAATATGAATCTTGGGTACTAAAACATCATGGATAAACAAATGATGTAATTCAAAATGGAATGTACTTGAAGTGATATTTTTAGTGATAACTTTATGATTTCCATCCATCAAGCTAGGGCACAGCAGAACCTTCATGTCTGTTTAGGAATTACATGTGTTGTTTTGCTGGCAGTTCTTAAGCAAAGCTTTCATTTATCTGGGTTTTTTTGTACTAACTAGGAAATGATGACAACAGTTGTTCTCCACTGTCTCGCTGCCCCGCAGAATGTACCTGCCTGGACACAGTAGTTCGTTGCAGCAACAAAGGCCTTAAGGCTTTGCCCAAAGGCATCCCAAAAGATGTAACTGAACTGTAAGTAGCACACATTCTTCCTTTTTTTAAATGTCAAGGTCAGAGGCATACTGTCTGATTTAAGAATGAGAAGAGGAAGAAGTACGCAGAGTAAAAAAATGACATTAAATGATCAGTGAGAGTTTAAGATTTTAACACTTATTACATATTATGGCCTAAAAAGCAACAAGGACTTCTTCACAGAGAAATTAAGTAACAAAAATTCCTGTTTATAAGTAGAAGGCCAGTGTAATTGAAATTCTAATATTCATATTTTCCTATGCTTAGGATATTAGATATAGGATCTACATCTCTTATATAAATCAACCATTTCTGTTTTGAGTTTGTGACCCATATATTGAATCACTGTTCTTCAACCATTTCTGTTTTGAGTTTGTGACCCATATACTGAATCTACCCATATATAAATTTGAAATTAAAATGGATCAGAAGCTATGAATTAAAGTGAACTGGATTCATATGCTTTCATTACTCAGCCAAGAACAAATACAGAAATTAAATATCATAAATGATAAAAACTAAATCAGTTATTGCAAGAGAACTTGATCAAAGTGTGGTAGTTGTTGAACCTGTGGTAGAAATCAGTAAGCGCATCCAGGTGTTCAGTCCAGGTGATGAAAATATCATCTATGTATAGTAAAGGTTTATCAGTGCAGTTTTTCAGAAAATTCCTCCTACAGATAGCTCATGAAGAGGTTGGCATATTGGGGGGCCATCCTTTTGCCTGTAAGGTGTTCCCACTCCTTGGAGGAAGTATTGGTTATTAGAGGTAAAGTTATTTTGGGGTGAAGATGAAGTGGATGATTTGTGCAGTTAATGTGATTTCAAATCTGAGTGTACTCTTTGTAACCAAATTCAGGCAGACAGCCGGGCCTTCATGTGTAGGATATTAGTGCAAATATATGGTTGCAAATATGGCTCTCTCAAGGAGATGGTTGATGTTCCAGAGCTTGTTGAGGAAATCTGTTGTGTTTTGTCACTCAAAGAGCAAGTTTCAGGTGGGTTTGTATGAACCCTGCTACCTCTTCAGTAAAGGTACTACAGTTGGATGTGATTGATGCCAGGATGACTTTGTGAATCATCAGGAGCATAACAAAATGTTTCTGGGGGGGGAATGTGGGACTGGTTTGAACAGGTTTTCTTTTTTCCTGGAGCTGATTTGATAATATTTTTCTAGTTCAAGTGTAAATATTGGTGTGAGGTCTTCCCCAAGTTCTTTATGCTCCTCAGTATTAGAGAATTATCTTGTAACCTTAATCATATAGTCTTGACAGCTGAGGATGATTATAGCTCTTCCTTTGTCCACTGGTTTGATTAGTGTTTTGTTGTTGGATCTTAGGAACTACATGGTTTTTCTCTCTGAAAGGGAGAGGTGGACCTGGTTTGCATCAAGATTTGTTCTGTTAGCTTTCTTCCTGAAACAGTCAATGTGGTAGTCCAGTGTGTGGTTCTCTCTACTGGGAAGGGTCCAGTCAGATTTTTCTTGTCATCATTTATCCTAGCTATTACAGCAGAAATGTGGTCAGAATTGGTTCTGTCCATATATTCTTTCAGACAGAGTTTGCTAAAGTATTTTTCCAATTCTTCATATCTCTGTCAAGTTGTTTCTCCAGGCAGAAGTTCGGGCCTTTTCAAAGTACCTATATATCAGAATGGGCATAGGAGTGCTTTGATAGGTTAATAATGTTCATGTTCTGGGTGGTGCTATCTTGATTCGCTCCTGTGTGAGCATGATGGCTGTGAAATGGCTCTTGTTGTGATAGTTGATTCTACTTTTTTTCCTTACATTGGATGGCTATCATAGTTTCATTGTTTCATAGTTAGTTGGGTCGGAAAGGACCTAAGCAGATCATCAAGTCCGACCCCCTGCCATGGCAGGAAAGAGTACTAGGGTCAAATGACCCCAGCAAGGTGATTGTCAGGCCTTGTCTTAAAGACCCCCAGGGTAGGAGCCTGCACCAACTCCCTTGGAAGTTGGTTCCAGATCCTAGCTGCCCTGACAGTGAAGTAGCGCCTCCTGATGTTTAATCTGAATTTACCCTCTGCCAGCTTGCGACCGTTATTTCTAGTCACTCCTGGTAGTGCTCGGGAGAACAGGGACTCCCCCAATGCCTGATGGTCCCCTCTGACTAGTTTGTAAACAACCACTAGATCCCCCCTCAGCCTTCCCTTGTGGAGGCTGAACAGGTTCAGGTCCCTTAGGCTTTCCTCATAGGGCCTGCTCTGCTGCCCCCTGATCATGCGAGTGGCCCTCCTCTGGACCCTCTCCATGTTGTCCACATCCCTCTTGAAGTGCAGCACCCAGAACTGGATGCAGTACTCCAGCTGTGCCACATAGAGGGGGAGGATCACCTCCTTGGACCTGCTTGAGATGCATCTGTGGATGCATGACAAGGTGTGGTTGGCCTTCCTGACACTGTCGGCCCATGTTCATTTTGGTATTAATAATGCTGCTGGTTCTTCCTCCACAGGTGCAGTACCTTGTACTTGTCAGTGTGGAAACCCATCCTGTTCTCATCCGCCCACCCCCGTAACCTGT